GAAGTGGAACTGGCGAACCATTGACCAGTGACATCTGTTTCTTTGACATCCTCTATTATTACTTTGGGAAGTCACGACGGAACGTTGCGAGAGGGTCTACAGACAGGGAGGGCACTTTCCAGATGTAAAAAATGGTGCCAGACCTGAGTACAGATGTATGTACATACCTTTGTACCCGAGGAGAGCTTTCCTGGTCCAATGTCGGCATCGGCGCCTGCCTGCCTTGCAGGAGAGTGACAGCAGCGGTTGCCGTCCAACTACCAGGCTCTTGGGGTGTGCTCATGTATCAAGTTGAGATGGGAGGCATGAGAGGGAATAAGGAGACGCTTGGATGCCTTTTCACTTTGTTCACGTCCCGAACCGACCTCGTCGCAGACACTCAAGCTCCTGGTGAGTCTCAAGTCTTGCTCGTCTACAGGCACTGAAGTACCATAGCTCGGCACCTGTTGTGTATTTTCCGGCTGGACCAACTATTCTGACCCCATGACTGCTTCGTTTCGCTCCATGCCGAGGCTGCTTTTCTGTCCGACGCTGAAGCCGCACCAGGAATAATGCCAGAGTTGGATTTGGTTATTGAGCTAAAAGACCTTTGGGATCTATGTATAGTCGACCGATGAAGGGCTACGAGGCAAGCCAACAGAGAAGCGAGGTGAACATTAATGGGCATTACAAACCACGTTAATCATTGCACTAGCAGGACCAGACAAGAAATCTGTAAAGCGAAGAGTCTTAATGGTCATGGTCTGCGACGAACCCACTCAACTGAAACGTTGGCCTCCAGTATTGGCAGAAAACCTTGGTCCTGAATCCATATTATACGGCAGATGCTGTATCGTTGACGCCGTCTGAGTGGGTTATTGTTGCAAGCAGACACCATTAATGACATGATACGCGCAACATGTCTGTCGAGTGTATACTTTATTGTCTGCAAGAAGAGGCCCAAAGCAACAACTGGATCCCAGAGAGTTATGCGCAGTTTGCAGGGTCAACTCTTGCCGGCACTTGTGAGAACCACGGTCTCCGCTAGACTTGGTTCGCATTTGCATGAGTACGCAATATAATGTGTTTGTGAGTCGAGACCCAGGTTGTGCTGATGCTGGACGCATTCGCATGCAGTCAAGCCAGGTACGGTTTTGCATGACTGCCCAAGAACGCAATACTAAACACCAAACAGAACGTCACTCCATCCCAATTTGCCAGAAACATGCTCTTGCAGTTGTATTATTTGACCAAGGCCTCCTCACTTTCCGGAACATGTGCGAACCCCCCCTTTCATTTTGTTTGACAATACTTTTGGGTTCTTGCGGCGCAGTGCAACGCTGCAACTCGTAGGCGAGAAAAATAACACCAGACGGTTTCACAGGAAGGCTGAGAAATGGAAATGGCTCATTGCTCGGTCCAATTTGCAGCGCGGTATTGACAGCAACGCACCCCTGCGGTCCAAGGTTTCCGGGCCTGTCAATTACGGCGTGGTCGAATGCAACGCTGAATTGGCATGTTTATCATTATCACCCACGAACAAAGAGCGCGCAGCGCATTGCATCCAGGAAGATCGGAACCTGGACACGCAACACGGCCAATGCTGTCCTGCAATAGTACCAGAACTTGTGCAAGGCATTCGGCGGGTTTGGCCATATGGCAGGGTTCCGTCTTTGCTGTGTCATTGACGCGCATGGCCATCGGATCATGTTGGGTACTTTTCCGCCCACATGTGCATGCTGATGCAATTGGGCCCAATTTAGCGCACCAAAATTGATCTCTGGCCGTTGCATGATAAATCCATGGGCGCTTTCAGGCACAGCCCCACATAATGCAGCTTGTTTGCCGGCAAAGTCATCCAATCAGAGTATGCGATAGCCTTTGAGGCTTTGAGACTTTGATGGTTAGATGCATTGATGCTTTCTGGCGCCACACCCAGCCAACAAGTCAACATGGAAAATTTCCGTACACAACAACTAAAAGGTGATGATGATGCTGGTTGAATCCAATCAATCACCACCTTGGAGACAGTCCAGATCCGGACGACGCAGACGTGCTGGCGCTCCAAATAACAATAGCCGGGCATGGGCTTATTCTTGTATTGTGCTGTCGTTGGACTCTGACTTGACGTGACTGGGCAGGCGCCGTAACATGGCCATGGGACTGTCTGAGCCGGAATTTGAGCGCCAAAAATATCCAGCCACAGGTCGACTGGCCAACTGGTGCAACGAGCGACTCCAACCAGACGTTTGAACTCCCCCGATCCAGCATTCCAGGTGGGCCCTGCTGGGAAAAGGGTCCTGCCAGGTTTCGAGGTTACAGAAAGGGGATCTCCGGCAGGGTACTCCGTATTGGACAGAAATACCAACCACAAGTTCGTCGGCCCTTTTCAGCCTCGTGGAGCAGCACATGGGCCGAGTTTGCAGGCAACGCAGCATTCGAGATGCCTAGCTCCCTCGTAGTTCACAGCAAAAACCTCATTCAAGGCCCTGCCGGCTCTTGGCGTCAATGGACGCTGTTTTACTTGGTTCCACATGCCATGGCCAGCGGACCAGCTCGTCAATCCGGTAGTCGTAATGCACAAGGTTTGTATTACTCTGCCAACTGCATATCTTGCCTCGCCAAGAACACTTGTCAGTGTGGAGGGAAACCGGATTCCATCTTGATTGGACGACGGCTGTTGCCAGTTTATTCGGTCGTGCTATTATGCATGCCGACATGCTCATGCCGACATGCTCTCTCGAGCAGTTTTGGTTCTCGAGATGCCGAACCACTGGCTTGATAGATGCCTAACTCGGTACTTAGCATTAGTCCGTACACCAGAAAAAAGAAGATGTGTCACGCGTCGCCAATTCAGACGTTAACAATTTCCTGCACAAGTCCAGCAGGCGTCCCAACCACCCACACACCCGCATTGACCGTATCGCCGCTACATGGCTCCTTTGACAAATTTTGGCAACCTTGCAAGGTCACGATTAAGGAGAAAGCTAAAACAATTGTTTGAGAGGGGGGGTGGTCATTCTGTGGCCTCCACTATTTTCTAGAACTTCTTCTTCCCCTCTGTACTCAACATTAGCCCTGCTACCAGTGCACTTTATACTAGCACAATTGGCGAGTTTCAGCCGCCATCACCACCTCCCTCCCCGTTTTCCCCGATACACGAGGACCATTTGACGGCGCCCGATTCTTTTTCTGGCAGGGTCGGGGTCCCCGATTTCATCGGAACGCCATCGTCTCGCAGGCCACCATGAACCGGACTACTGAACAGTCTAAACCTTCCCGCCGCCTCCGCATCAGACCTGCATAAGGTTCGTAAGCCATGCACCTCGCCGCCTTTATGCGCCGAAGGGGGGAGGGGGCGTCATCGAACGAAGAGCAAACCCGTAAAGCCGGGAAGAAAAGACGACTGAAAAAAGGACGCATTGTCTGCGACTGCGCCGCCAGTGTCGGGCACTGTTCACACTACGGGTGTAGTTGTAGCCCATTTCAACCTCATGACGCACGGGGCTTGGCTTTTTTTAGTCCTTTCTTTTTCTCTGTCGGCGCGGGAGTGAGGCCAGGCGGTGGCAGAATGCAAAATAGTAACGAAAGACTATAGATGGGAGTTTAGGCTCTGGGGTGCAAGAAATAGGCGTCTTGTCATAAACATTCGCATGAGGATGCGCATGGGTGCTATTACCCCAGAGGAACGGCCGTCCCTGTATTACATGTTGAAATAGACTCGAGCCTCGCGGCAAGTTTTCTTTTGCTAGTTGCAGCAGTTGTTGTTGTTGTTGCTCGCCGCCACATGCACGTCATGCTTTGAGCGCGCCTGGGTGTCTGGTGCCTTGTTTGGGTTTACAAGAAAAGAAAAGAAGATAAGATAACCCTGGCTTAGCAAGGGACCTGGGGTAGACAGGATCGTCGAGTTTCTTCCCGACGTTCAGAGCCGTTGACTGGTTAGCTTGCAAAGTTGCAGTCTTTTCCATGTCACTGGACGAAACGGCACTAAACTAGTTGTCTTTCCGGGATGTTACTATCGACGCCATGTTGCATGCGAGTCTAAAAGAAAAATTGTACAGGATAAAGCTTGCGACGTTGAGGAAAACTGCCCTTAACACCAACAGACGCCCGTCTGTCGGCTGCCGCTGCGCAGAGCACACGGCGAGGAGAGCGAGACCGGTATATTTCATCTTTGGCGCCTCCAGATGCCAATTAGAGATTCGTACACGATGCCAAGGGCTTTCGAGGTGCTATAGACATTTGTATTTACTTGGGTACGGGGCACTTTTATCACAAGGTCAGCCGTGTTGCAACTCGTATAGGCATGGCATTCAATTCAACTCAACCAACAGAGCTAGCTTGCCTCTGGCACAAATCACTGCCTTGGGTAGCAATCCCACTACTGAAACCGCGGGCAATTCATTGGGTTTTCTCGTGTAGGTTTGTCAGGGCAAGTCGCCTTCTATCAGTGGTTGGTGCTATATCTGACACAGGTGATCGCCATTGTCGTCGTAGGACTCAATCCCATCTGGAACCAACGTTGAAGCTAACAGACAAAAGGACTTTCAAACGGGCCAATAGTGTCCACGACCAAAACCTGTTGTTGTTTGGTCGTGTAACATCCCCGCACGAAATGGCTCGTCGGAATAATCCCATCTGCTCGCTATTGTTAGGTATCCAATCATACATACACCAGTCACGATAGCTCTTCACGGCATCTGGCGCGAGGGTGCCACTGTCCAAGTCCGAGTGGCGCCGAGCACCGCGGACTTAAAAATGCCGCGCATCCCTAGGCCGGGGCTAGCCATGGCGGAGATCGAAATCAGGGTATTTTTTTCATCTGCTGGTACTATGACGGAGGCTAATATTTCCATAATACAGACTCGGGGATTTTTGCCCGGAGAGATTACGTCTTCTCAATGCAAGCACTAATATACATGGACGAGCTCTTGGGAGAAGCCGCAAGGTCATGATGCATGACAGGCAAGACTTGGCGGCAACCAGGGAGTCCCGGGGGAACCCAAAAAAAAAAAAAAAGACTACCGCTTGACCCATGCCGGCATCTTGCGAGCCTTTACGTGACCGTGCTTCTTCCTCTCAACAGTTCTTGGATCCCTGGTGATACACCCAGCTGTAAAGTCTGATTAGTATGCAGGCTACGTAACCATCGTGAAGGTGACTAGAGGAACTGAGCAATGCGTCCATACCTTTTCGCAGAATCGTCTTCAACGCTGGCTCATGAGCGACCAAAGCCTTGGCCACAGCAAGTGTCATCGCTTCAGCCTGTCCAGTAGTGCCGCCGCCTTCCACGAGAACCCAGACATTATACTTGTCCAGCCTCTCCGTTGCTATGAGAGCCCACACGGCACTCTCACGGTCGTGGACGCGGCCAAAAGCCTCGCTCAGTGGCTTCCCATTGACCAGGACCTCCCCGGTACCCTCGACGACAAAGGCGCGTGCTGTAGAGGCCTTTCGCTTGCCCACTCCGACGGCACGGCCAAACTTGTCAATGATGATTGGGTTGGGCGTGTTGAGAAAAGGGTTGATATCCCGCGAAAACTCCTGAAGAGCAATCTTGACTTCGGCCGGCCGTAGACTGGGTTCGATCAGATTGAGTCGCTTGGCCACGCGAATAACCTTTTGATAGTGCATTGCCTTGATAGGCTCTCCCATTTGCGCGCGCATCTCCTCCAACTTTGTCCATGGAACCTGTGGAGCTTCGCCGGGTGACACGGTAGGCAGGTGATGGTATCGGGTCAGGAGATTCGATATCCGAATGTACAAGTCGTTGAACTGGGGTTCTCTTGAGAAATACGACGGAGTTGCGGGAACGGTTCGAGCGTGCGTAACGCCCTGATAAGGGATCTGAACAGATTGAACTAGGCTCGTAGCAGTGGCATCGTCGTTTCTGGCGGCCGTGCTGATTGCTCGGATGCATAGGGGGGCTGATAACCTCCAGGTCTGTTGGTGCCATTGCGGGCTCGCAAGCTGTCTTGGACATCTGAAATGTCGCATACCGTTCGCAAAAGTGGCCATGATAACCCTCTGCCGCAGCAATTCCGGATTGTTGTCGCTTGTCGTCACTTTTCCCCCTCTCGATCGAAGCTCAAAAGCTCCTGGCGCCGGGTCAGAAATCGAAAACTTGGCACACCTGAAAAAGCTCCGTCAAATGTCACGTGAAGATAAGATTTTGACAAAATACCTCTGGAACCAGCCACTCACTAGCCACGCAGCGAGGGGCAGTTCGACAAGCTCCCCATTTTATTAAAAATTTCCTCGACTCCTCTCCGTCTTGATTCCTCTTGTTCTTCTTCTCTATCACATCTTTCGTACCCAAGAAACTTTGAAAAAGATGGCTTTCGGCACCCTCTTCACCCACTCCGTATGTCAACCGAGCATCTTCCAGATTCTTCTTCGTTTATCAAATCACGAAGCTTGTCTCCTAACTATTCTGTCTGATTGTAGGACAACCCCCGCTCCGTCGCCATCAAGGCGGTCGCGAAGGCCAACAACCTCGATCTCAAGACCTCCGAGGTCGAGTTTGGCAAGCCCACTGCCGAGCACCAGAGTGCCAGCGGACTTGGCAAGATCCCTGCCTTTGTTGGCGAGGATGGCTTTGCTCTCTCCGAGGCGATTGCTGTCGCCATTTACGGTAGGTCCTCTCTGCTCTCCTACGACTGTTTGTCAAACTCTTCCATCTTCTTCCAGCAGCAATCCGTATTTGTCTGTTGGGATTCAGTGCATGTGATGAACTAGCCTTTCATTTTTATACAGTTATCCCTGTCTGAAAATTTCCTTGTGTGGATAAAGCCTAACTTCTGATCTCTGCCTAAATTGCCTTGTTTATTACTAATTCCTTGATGAATTGAGCCATTAACCGTCTTTGGTTGGACTAGACACTAACATTGTCTGCAATAGTAACCTCTCAAAATGAGAAGACCACCCTCCTTGGCAAGACCAAGCAGGAGTATGTATTTTTTCTTGAGCTGTTGGTTCTCTTGGCTTCAAGTGCTGACTTTGTGCTAGCTATGCTTCCATCCTGAAGTGGATGTCTTTCTTCAACTCTGAGCTCGTCCAGCCTCTCGCCGACTGGTTTCGACCGCTCCTTGGCAAGGCCCCCTACAATAAGAAGAATGTTGATGATGCCTCCAAGGTCGTTGAGAGGGCCATTGATGTCGTTGAGAAGTACTTGCTCAACAACACCTTCCTCGTTGGCGAGCGCATCACTCTCGCTGACCTGTTCTGCGCCCCTCTCCTCAACCGTGGTTTCCAGTACTTCTTCGACAAGCAGTGGCGCGAGGAGCACCCCAACACCACTCGTTGGTACGAGACCGTTGTCAACCAGCCCATCATCACTGCTGTTGCCAAGCAGCTGCCTCTCCTCGAGAAGCCTGCCTTGACCAATGTCCCTCCCAAGAAGGCCGAGGCTCCCAAGGCGGCCCCTAAGCCTGCTGCCAAGCCCGCTGCCGAAGCTGAGGAGGACGAGCCCGCCCCTGCACCCAAGCCCAAGCACCCTATTGACCTTTTGCCCCGCGCCACCTTTCCTCTCGACGAGTTGAAGCGCAACTACTCCAACGCCAGGACGGCCGGCACCCTCTCCGAGACCATGAAGTGGGTTTGGGAGACTGTTCCTTGGGAGGAGTACTCCATCTGGCGTGCTGACTACAACTACAACGATGAGCTCAAGATGACTTTCATGTCAAAGAACCTCATCGGTGGCTTCACTGAGCGAATTGAGGCTTCCCGCAAGCACCTTTTCGGAGTCGCCTCCGTCTTCGGCAAGGACTTCGACTCTGTTATCCAGGGTGCTTTTATCATCCGTGGCCAGGAGTTCAAGCCCGTTTTTGACGTCGCCCCCGACTACGAGCAGTACACCTTCAAGAAGCTTGACCCCAATAATGCCGAGGACCGTGCCTTTGTTGAGCTGCACTGGGACTGTGGCAAGCCAATCACCGTCAATGGCAAGGAGTATGAGCACGCCGGTGACAAGGTCTTCAAATAAATTTCGGGGCAGGACTAGGCGGAATGAAGAGATGATGATGGCACATGATTGGAATGGGATGAATGGGAGGACAGGAATGAGACTAAATAATGAAGGCATGCAGTGATGCATGTTGTGGCATGACTGCTATGACGCTTTCTAAATATTGTCAGGTCAGGTCAAATACAAAGGCTCTTGTCAATAGTGAAACGAACAAATATCAAGTGGATTGACAAGCCAAAGAATGCTTGCCTTGAAAACATTAACGTGATGTATTCGTCATTTAGTCTATCAAATTGGGTATCGCAAGAATGACAATGTCTATTGTTGGCCATGTATGCTTGAGTTCCATGGCGTCACAGACTCAGGGTTGCCCAACATTCCTACCAAGCTCTCGTCCATCAGCTTCTTCAGCTTCATACCGGCCTCGTCACACTATTCCTTAATGGCAAAATCGCTCGCACACACCAACATACTCTTGAGGAGCCGGAACCTTGGACAAAAATTCTATCAGGCCTAGTGGCCAAGGGCAAAGAAGATTTAAAAAACAAAAAGATCAAAAAGCCTCTGGTAACGTGTACCCAGAGTCGAGACGGAATGGGTTTTCGCGCATGTACCGACTGACGTCGGCCTGGAAGCACAGGGCATTCAGATAATCGTGGACCTGGGGCAAGACATTCGGCGACTCCCCCTGCAGGCCGGAAAACTCGGGCACGGGCAGGATGTTGTAGGGCTCGCTCCGGCCCTTCTCGCGCGAGTCGTCCACTAGCACCGTGTTGGACTGGTCCCAGCAGGCGCCGCGGGCGGCGTCCGGGTGGGAGGCCCTGACGCGCGGGTCGTCCCAGACCGTGGAGAGCCTCTTGTACACCTGGACGCGGGCGTCGTAGTCCTCTGGCGAGAGGCCGAGGCGGTCGCGGGCCCAGACGACGACGCACCGCGCGCACTCGTCGGGCGCGAGCAGCTGGGCGACCATGCTGTTGACGTTGTCGGGCCGCGCCGACGACCATATCGCGAGGTGGAACGTGTCGAGGCAGTACTTGAGGAAGCTCCGCGCGTGGGGGCGCTCGACAAAGTGCGACGGGCGCCGGCGCGAGGGCCGGTAGAGCAGGGTGCCGTTGAGGTCGAGGATGACGAGGATGCGGCGCGGCTGGGGGAGCTGCGTGGGCGGCGCGAGGGACTGCGCCAGGTAGCGCGTGGAAGGGGAGGGGATGCCGCCTGACGAGAGGGAGGGGGGCTGCCGCGGGTTGAGGGGTTTGGCGTCCTCTTCTGACGAGCTGGATTTTCTTTGTTTGGTCAGTTGTCGCTGGGGTTGGAATGGTGGTTTTGGGGGGGAGGGGGTTTTTTGCTTGGAAACTGACGCTTGGAGGGGTTGGATGATTTGGAGGCCCCTTTTGCCGGTCTTGCGCTTGATTCCCTTCTTGGTGTTGGCTTCGGCGGCGGCGGCGGCGTTCTTCTTGCCTAGTGCGAGGGCGCTTGCTGGCGTGAAGGAGTTGGCGAGGGCGTTTAGTGTTGTTTGCTTGAGGGACGACTTGGTCATGGCGGCTGAGAGGCTGCGGCCCGGTAGGCCTGTAGCCATTGGTGTTTTGGGCCTTGTGAGAGATGCTGTCCGGGAGAAAGGAAAGGGGGGTGGAGGTTATGGGCGGCTGACTGTTCAGGTGGTGTCGACGGGCTGGATGTTTGCCGCTCAATGTTTGCGATGAAGTTGGGATCGAAGTCGCTTGGTGGTGTTTTCCATGCGGAGCTTTTTCGATGCGGCCTGGCTTGTGTATGGGTCAACTTGGTCCCTGCCAGCTGGTGGGGGGCGGGGACCTGGTTCGTGCCTGGTGGGGGGGCGAGGGGGGCTGCTTGGACCATTTTGGGGCCCGGTTGAATCCGAGCTGACCGGCTTATTAACGAATGGAACTATTGGATGTTTATTTTTTGTTTTATTATTGGCGTCGTTATTTGGAGATTTAACTTATAAAACAGGTGAATATACTCATGTATGTCGGTAGATTGTGGAGGGGACCTACATGCTCTGCTAATAAAATTGCCACCCCTAACAAGCAGCCTGTTAAAATAGCGAGGAAGATGAATAGAGGAGATTATTATCGTCAGGCTTGCCAGCTGCACTAACAAAAGTGGAGGAATCTCTGTTGGTGCAGGTTGTTATTTATCTTTTATCACAATAAAGACTGTACAACAATATATTTGGGGCATTCCGCCATCGTCCAGTGAGACCTCGGGGGCTTTTGATGAAAAAAGGCTTCACATGTGGGCACGAACTGGTTTCGTTTTATAGTTCCATACTCACCTCTTGTCTCCGACATATGATTGTACTGTAGACGCGTTTGAACGTGGCGCTCACAAAGACTTTGGCCGTAATGTGTCTTGGATCACGGCACAATGCAATATAACGCTTCGGGTACTGGGGTAACTGCAATGCTGGACGTGGCGCTGAGAAGAAGTCGCATTGGACAGTTGAAACTACAGGGTAGGGGGAATGTTCCGCTGATGAATAAGGAAGAGATTTGACAGGACGAACCTGTCGACAGGGTAGATGTAGCACTTGGGTATGGAAAAGGCGCCATGAAGGGGAAATGTTGTGTTGCGGCGAGAGTGATGCAAATGCGCCAGTGGTAGGTGTCGGGGGCGTAACCGGCAACAAGACTAGACACGTTAATTGTGACCGGAGGTCTTAATAAGGAGGACATGATGTTGATACGAGCATCTTCCTTAGGTCACCTATTGTTCGGGAAACGAAACATGTTCTAGTCGCAGAGTGTATGATACGTCTTGTTCGTTTATCTATCAGTTGTTGCAGCCGAACACGATCCCAGATGCCAGGTGCTGTGATTATCTGATGTAGTGTGTGCGTTACAAGTCATGAAAGATAGAAGAGACATTGTGAGGGAAAAGATATGGCCATTTGAAAATTGAGGTCCTCGATATCAATATATACACAAACCTTTTGATAAACTGTAGCTCTGCCACATGTTTCAGGCCAATCGGCGGGTCCTTGGTCTTGGGTTTGGAGCATTTACCAAAGTTAAAAGATTGCTGAAAAATAGAGTTTAGTGGATTATGAGCTTCAACGACTTGGTCAAAGAAAGAAACTAGTAAATCTTGTCACATGTGCAGTTGGATATTGTACCTTGTTGGCCAAGGCAACGAAAGAGTGGCTTTGCAGAGTCCATATGAGTTTTTGAAACTTGGATTCTGAATTTGAACAATCGTCCCCAGGGCCATTGAGAGATTAACTGGTGTATCAGGGACTTGGCTCCTGGAGCCCAAGTCATATTGCGGGTTGCCACACATTTTCCAGCTGACGGCCTTCCACTTTTGGCGCAACATGGGTTCAGCGGCGATAAAAACTCAAGTAATCGTCTTGCCACGGGAGGTAACTTTGCCTTCTCAAGTTTTTTGTCAAGCGGTACTGACAGCTCAAAAGTTCATTCTCGATTATAAAAAAAGTGTAGAAATCCTGTCGAGGAGTCCCAAGTCCAAGGGCACCCCTAGACTGACGAGCCGGCCACCATCAATTCAATGTCTTATCGATAAGCGACATCCCGCATCAAAAAATCCACAATCGCCGTTCCCATCCTCACTTCTCAGCGGCATTGTTCTCGCAGCCGGCCGTTGCCCACCAACTCATCAACTGGCCCATGGTGTAAATTTACGGCACCATGCCCCCCAAAAGAAAGGTACCGTCGCTCGGCCTTGAGCGCCGGGTGCGGCCAAGACGCGAAGACAGATGGGAACCAGAGCCTGAATTGGAAGACCATCTCTCGGATGACCATGGGCCAGCCGAGGAAGGAATTGGCAGCCTCGAGAGCAATGACGACGAAGACGACGACGACGACGACGACGACGACGAACAGAATCAATCCGCAGAGAGTGAACCAGAGGTATATTTGCAACCCACGCCTTCCGTCACCCATCATCCCATGCTGATCCCGCAACCAGTCCTCCTCCTCCTCTGCACCAAAAGCCGACCTAACATCCATCTCATTCGGCGCCCTAGCCCGAGCCCAGGCCTGCCTCCCTGCCGCAGCCCGAAAATCCAAAACCCCCAAACCCTCCGACCACCAATCGCCCCAAGAAACCCGCGGCTTCCTCCAAAAGGAGCCCTCCAAACCCCCCAAGACGGCGCCCCCCAAGCGCTCCTCCAAACACGCGCCCCTCGAACAAACCTCCAAGCGGCCCGTCTCGCGCATGCGCGAAATCATCCCCGACAACCGCCGCAAAGCCCGCAACCCGC